TAATAGCGGCTGGACTTTTTCTGGAGAGACCTCGTATACTCAAAAGAATTAAAAGCAGTAGCTCAGAGAGATACTTGTTTCACCCATGTTTACAGCATCATTATTTAGAATTGCCAAAAGGCAGATGCAGCCTAAGTGCTGGACGGATGAAGGGATAAGCAAAATGTGCACACCTACAGTGGAATATTACTCAACCTTAAAAAGGAAGGGAATTTGGCATCTACAACATGGGTGAACCCTGAAGGCCATGAGCTAGTGCTCCCATTAACAAAATACCACACACTGGCTGGCTAAAATAACAAATGTATTTCCTCACAGTTCTGGAGGCTGCAAGTCCAAGATCAAAAGGGTGGGCAGGTTTGGCTTCTCCAAGGCCTCTCTCGTGGCCTGTAGATGCTGGCATCTCGCTGTGTGCTCAGATTCTTTCCTCCGTGTGTGCACCTCCCTGGCGTCTCTTGCTCTTCTTCCAAGGACGCCAGTCCTGTGGGATGAGGACCCCATTCTTCTGACCTCATTTCCCCTTAAATCACCACCTTTGAGGCCCCATCTCCACACACAGTCACACGGGGCATTAGGGCTTCAACACATGTCTCATGGAGGAGCACAGGCCATCAGTCCGTAACAGAGACACTGTGCCCAGTGAAGGAAGCAAGCCGTGAAGGACCACGTTATGTATGATTTCATTCATATAAGGCCCCTAGAGGAGTCAGATTTCTAGATAGAAAGTAGGATGGTGGTGCCAGGGTCTGGGGGAGGTGGGGGTGGGGAGTAAGTGGTTGATGGGGGCAGTGTCAGTTTGGGGAGAGAGAAAAGTTACAGAGATGGAGGGTGGTGATTGTGCGTCAGCCTCCCCTGGTGACGGTGCCCTGTGCTCCACCCATCTTGGCACGTTTGTAACTGCCATGGCCTCCGCGAAAGGGCCTGCCAGGATGTTCTTGATTTTCAGGACAAAGTGTCACCCAGTGTCTTCGCAGGGGCACTTCCTCCTGCAGTGTGAATTGGCGTGTGCGGGTAAAGTCACAGTGGGTGCCTCAGGCTGGTGGCTCCGGGTCAGGCTCAGTGTGTGGGGTTTGGTCTGGAGCATCTGCAGTGTCCATGGTTGGTTAGTGGTTCCTGGCTCCCCTGGGATGACACACAGCCCAATGGAGGGAGAGAGGAATGAGAGGCCTGTGGTCACACCCACTGCTGGAGGGACAGGAAAGCCCGCTTGTGGGTGACCCCAGAAAGCGTCGGGAAAGAAGGCTCTCCAGGCTTCTGTAGTTTGAGTTCTTATTTTTAAATTTTAACCACAAACACGCAGTGGCGATCAGTCCCGGGGTCTCTGTACCCGTGGACCCATGGTCTCTCAGGGGGAGCTCTCCAGCCTCAGTGGGGGGCTGGGGGCCTGTGAACCCAGGGAGCGATGCCTCAGCACCAAGAAACATTCGCTTTGAGAAGCTGTCCTGTGCTAGATTTCTGTCTGACAATACGCAGAGTAACACTCCTTAGTATGGAAAGCTTCCTGGAAGCTGACAAACTAGTAACCACACTCCCTGCCTTATTGGCCTTGTAGCTGCTCCACCTTCAGGTTAACTTCTTCTGAATTATTATTATTTTTTACTATTTTTAAAAGATTTTATTTATTTTTAGAGAGAGGGGAGGAGAGGGAAAAGAGAGAAACATCATTGTGTGAGAGATTGGTTCTCTCTTGAACACCCCCAACCAGGGACCTGGCCTGCAACCCAGGCGTGTACTGTGATTGGGAATGAACCAGTGACCTTTCATTCACAGGCATGTGCTCAGTCCACTGCGCCACACCAGCCATGGCTTCTCCTGTGTTATTTTAAAGCAAAACTCAGATATTCACACTATTTCACCTCAATGAGCTCTGACTCCAGGTTTCCGAGTGACTCCAGAGTCTGCCTTGCAGAGACACCTGGGGGCTGGCTTGCAGCCCCACCTTGTGTCGCTTTCAGCGAGTGCTTTTCTCATGCATGGCACCCTGCACACCGAGATTGGGCTAGCTCTTTTTCCCTTAACCCGTTACCTATCATATAAAGAAAATGTGACTTGCCCCCACTTTTTACTTTTCTTGGGTAATGGGGTCATGGGACCATTTCATCTGTGTTTTCAGAAGGGACTGGTGCTGTGTTTTGTCTGTTGGTGGGTTGTTTTCTAGTGCCGAATGCCTGCTTTTGAAAACTGCTTTCTGCAGAGCAGTTTGTTCGATAAGACACTTTCCAGATGTGTTTGTTCCCAATCCTGCTAGTGGGTATGCTTGTCATGGTCATTGTAAATAACTAGATGTTTAGGGGGACAGTCCACTTTCTTTATGTTTTGCTTTGGGGAGAGAGGCCGGCTGATGCTTCTGTCTGTCCATGACTCTGTACTTAGGTCATGCTGCTGTCGTCCATGTAGGTATGCCTGCTCATCCTGTTTGTGTCTTTGCACAGAACCACCTAGCGGTGTTCACAGTGGTTCACCCGCTTGCTCCCAGTGTGAGCTCCAGCGTGGCCTCCAGCCTGGCATCCAGTGCTGGCTCCAGCAGCTCCTCCCCCACCGCTCTGCCCGCTCTCTCGGCGCGTGCCCACCCACTGGACTCCACTGGCGGTGCCCTCGAGTCCATCCCAGGTAAGCCCAAGATTCTCATTTCCCTGACTTAGCACTAACATTGTAGCATTTGAAGAATAATCTACTTAGGGATACTTTCAGAATGCAAGTTTTGGTGGAAAAGCCACATGTATTTTGGTGGTCTGTGCGATACTTTGGCTGTATTGCATGTGGTTGTGGAAATACCTGCATTAGCAGCAGCCTGGTACTACAGAGCTGATGATATGCCTTCAGGTGGGGGCAGTGGTACAGGCCCCAGGGCAAGGCAGAGAATGGGAGGCTTTAGAGAAATTTAAATGGGAGTTGGGGGCAGCGAGGGCAGCAGAAGGTAGGGAATCATAACGGGTGCAGATGAGGCCAGAAGGCAGTGGGCATGGCTGCCAATTATTGGGGGTCCTTAGCTGCTAGGAGTCATTGAGGGTCTGTGGACTGATGACCAATGTGATTGGAGTCAGGCTGTCGTGGAAGTGCAGGGAGCAGGATGGATACAATCCTGGGGGTGGTGGACTGTGTCTGGCCCCCTCAGGCCACATCAGGCTACATCAGGGCAGTGGGGCACCTGGCACCAGCGGGGGACCATCTGCATTGCCAAGCTGACCCTCACCCTCATCTCTGTATGGTACGGAGAAACTCCAGGAAGGCCTCTGTGTTGCGGCGGTTCCAAGTTCTCTGTCTGGGGGTTGGCCGGGAGGGTGTGGCTGTGGCTGTTGGCAGGAGAGGGGGCCCACCCAGTGAGAGGCTGGGCCTGGCAGCACAGAATTGTAACATTATGGGTAAGTGCAAAAAATTTTAACATAAAGCTTACTTTTTCCAATATAAAGGTAGTAATAGTAAAATTTGAGCCTAAGAAAAAAAATAATCAGGAAAATGAAATTCCTATTCAGCTCTGCTCACCTGAGTGGAAAATAGAACTAGGCACATCTATGCTTTGAAAGTGGCCTCTTGGGACAGGTGATAGATAGCTTACAATTGGAGTTAGCATAATTTCTAGTAATTTTTCCAGCCATTGTCATAGCACCTAAGGGGCAGTCTCTCGGCCTGTTTTAAGTATGTAACTAACCATCTTGTTGTGGGCTCTTTCACTGACTTAAACATTTCTTGAACTAACTACCAGGAAGTGAAGAGGTGAATTTTTTTAGGATCAACACTGCCTCCACTTACAGGTTCAGGGTAGCACGTTTTTGTTGCTCTTGCTAAGGCAATGAGCTCCTGCCATCAGTGCCATCCTTGCATTTTCTCTGCTCACCCTCCTGAGGTCACGTGTAAAGTTATATCCTACTACTGCCCCAGTTATGGCAAGTAATGGAATGCTCAGACCCGCCCTCTGACCCCAGGAGGGCCCTTTCTACTGTGGACTCCCAGGACCCAGTGTCCACTGCTCCTGCGTGGATGCTGACAGGGGTAGACTGTATTGTTTTCTCCTCTAGTACAGTTTCATTCAGGTTACGTCATTACTAATGCACTGAACTTAAAACATCCATTTTTAAAGTTATTCATTAGAGTAAACTAAAAATAAATAGGTGCCTTTTCCAACTATTCTGCATTTAATGGATTTAATGGAGTCATTTCAGGGCCATTTGGCAGATTTTATTTTCTTTGCCTTTCACTTCATATGAACAGGTTTCAGATTAAAATAGTGACCGAAGGAGTTCATTGCCGGGCGAGACTGGCAGCAAAGGGCAGCAGGAACCTTGAGTCCCCCGCATCGCGGGGTCGGCTTCGACTCAGCCTCAGGCGAACCACGCCCGACTGTGGTCTGCGTAATGGGGGCGGGGCCAGGGGCGAGGCGCGTCTGAGGCTTGCGTCACTTGTGGGCGCGGCGGGCGCGGGATGGGCGGGGCTCGGGCCGCGGGCCCTATTTGAATCCACGGCGGTGGCGCTAGCACCACCGCGACGGCAGACCGTGAGTCAGCATCCTCAGCCGTGCGGCTCCGGGTGCGGGTGGTCTAACGTGAAGCTGCGGAGCGGGTGGTATGTCCTCCCCCTCAAGGTGTGGTGCACCGATCCCCCTCCGCATGTGCGCCCCCTCCACGCGCTAGCACCCCAAGTGAGGTGCGTCTCCCCAACCCCCCTCCTCCGTGCACTTTCCCCTTTCGCAGGTCTGCCTCCCCTCTTCTCCAGATGCCTCTCGTATTGGTCCTCGGTGCGTGCGCCAGGTGTGAAAGCAGGGGTTGGTAGCAGTTTTCCTGGGGGCTGCGGGGTGAGGTAAATGCAGATATGCCCTCTTGAGGAGCCTGCTCTGCAGAGGCGCTCTCTGGTCCTTGCGTGGGCACCAGCCGCGAGACTTCTGCAGCGGATCCTTCATCACCTAGAGAAGGTGGGTCTCTTGCTCCCGGGAGAGGACGGTTTCCTGTCTCACCAGCGAATCGCCTGCTGTGCCTGCGCTGTCGGCCGGGGTGAGCAGGTGTGCCAGGTGTTTCTCTGTTTTGTAGTCGGGGCAGAACTGCCCGGACCAGGTGGGCGTGGGGAGCTCCACCCGATCTCTGGGTCTTCCTATCTGACCTTTAATTCTGTGCATTGTGTTTGTTGTCCCCGTGTGTCCCCTGACCCTGGGACCGTGGCGCCTCTCCAATGTGCTGTGTCACGTCAGGAACAGGGCTTTGCCAGGGCCATTACTCAGCAGCTTCCAGACAATTTCTCCTTAACATCTGGGTGGTGCCTGGGATTTTGCCGAGGTTGGTTCTAGGTCAGATGGCACAGTTTATGTTCACGGGTACTTCTGGCTTTTGAGTGCTAAAGCCTCTTTAAACGTCAGTTCTTCTCTAAGAATATTTCGGGAGACCTGGGTCTGACCTCAGGGAACGACAAGGTGTGGTAGGACAATAGCCCTGCTCCTGAGAAAGTGGGCCGGGACACATCCTGGCAGCAGTAGCCTCTGCCTTGTAAGGTGAATGCAGGCTCTGGTTGGTCAGGTGCCACTTCTGCACCTCAGAGGGCAGCAGGGATGCACCTGTGTGCTGAGTCATGGGGTGGGGTTAGGGAGATAAATCACTTTCAGGTGAGAAAGGCTCCTGCGGTCCAGTCTGCTTTCTCATACATCCATGCCTTTGTGCCTTTGATTCAAAAAAGTGCTTCTGGAACTCTGCAAGCTTTGAAACTGGATATCTCTGACCTGATCCCAGGGCTGTAGGTGCTGAGAGCGGGACCCATGTTTTCAGGCCCAACTGACCAGCATGTCCAGGACAGTGGCTTGGGACCCTGGGCTGAGCAGTCATGCCGGGCCAGCTCACAAAGGGTGGGTTTGGGCCTCCTTTCTTTTGGAGGTCTGCCTCCAAAAGACAATTTCTCCTTTTGTCTTTTGACAAAAAGGGCAGAGTGAAGAGGTGGGGGGTCAGGTGCTTGTTCTTAGAGGGTGGGTGAGTGCATGTCAGTCAGCCCTGGCTCAGTGCACCTGCATAGTCCAGGCTAAGGTGCAGGAATGGAGTAGGGGAAGACTGAGAGGGTTTTGAAGGCTGAGCAGGAGTTCTCCCAGGACTAGTGAGGCTGATGGAAGCCATGCTAGGCTGCAGCCTATAGCAGTGTCATGACTTTCAGACAAAGGAGGAGCCAGTTTGGGGTGGGAAGGCTGCTTGGGGCAGGTGCAGGATGGGGCAGGGTAGAGCAGACAGTGTCCTGCCTGCCAGGGGAGGCCGGACTCATGACATGACAGGGTTGGCTGATGCCAAGATCACTCTTGAGACAGTGTAGGTTGGGGTGAAAGGGCAGCTGCAGAGATGGCTGGAGCTTGGGGCCTGACTGATGTGTGTTTAAGAGGAGGAGGAGGAGCTAAGGGTTCCCACAGGGCTCGTGCTCAGTGAGTTGGCCCAAGTTCATCAGCCTGAGGGAGGCACCTGTGCCCAGATGGAGAAGGCTCCAGTACAGCAGAGGGGCCTCTCCCTGGTCAGAGGAGGTGATGCAGCCATACTGAGAGGCATCTGGGGGTGAGCGCCCCAGAAACCATGTATGTCTGAACATGGAAGGGCCCAGAGATTGACTCAGAGGAAGGGGAGAGGGACCAACAGCAGGCAGGGGCTGCCTTTGACCAGAGGGGTTTTGGAGCATGGCACAGGGCTGGGCAGCAAGGCCCAGGTGGCAGCTTGAACAGTACACTGGAAACGGGATGGCAAGAAGGGGTGGACCAATGGGGACAGGCTTGCACATGGGGCTGCAGCGCCTGCAGGGCTGTGGTTGTGACCCGAAGAGTGAGTGTGAGCAAGAGCCTGGACCTTCTTCATGGAATTCACAGCAACAGGACACAGGTCTGACGGTGGAAGGGGTCCTAAGAGGTCTGGGCTATGGGTTTGTGGGAGGTGCTAATTCAAGTACCAGAGCACAGCCTCCTGGAGGGGATGGATCAGATGCGGTGGGTGTCACCAGGTTGATCCCCATTATTGTGGGTTGAATTATGTTTCCCCAAAACATTCCCTCAGACCTGCCCCCCTGCCACCAACCTGGGAATGTGACCTTATTTTATTTGGAAATGGTTTGTGCAGATGTAATCAAGGTGAACTGAGGTCATTAGCATGACCAAGGTGACCAGGGGTGATTAGCATCACCCCTAATCCAAGGTGACTGCTGTCCTAGGAAGGAGGAGACAGACAGAGGAGAGCCAGCCACATGGTGATGCATCCACCAGCCAAGGAAGGCCAAGGGTTTCTGACTAAGCCGAAGCTGGACGAGGCAGAACGGAGCCTCCAGAGGGAACGCAGCCCTGTGCACCTTGATCTCAGCTTCTGGCTCCAGAGCTAGGAGAATGGATTTGCGGTGTTTGAAGCTGTCTGGTGTGTGGCGCTTGTTTTCAGCCGGCCCCCAGAGGCAAAGACCCTCGTGCTTCTGGGTGTTAGGAAGAAGCTGCCTGTGGCGAGAGAGAGACTGGCAGCAGAGAAGGGCTTGAGCAGCAGCGCTGATGGGGGAGGGAGCAGGCAGAGGGAGAGTGAGGGCCAGAGGTCGGGACTGCCCTGTGTGTCTCCGCTGCCAGGTCTCCCTGAAGGCTTTTCTGTACAGACTGTGGCAGCAGGCCATGTTCACACTGCCTGGTCCTTGGCTGTGGCATTGGGTGCTGTCTTTGCTGTGTGGGTGTCACATTCGGGAGGCCACAGTGAGCGGTGTTGTCTTTCCACGGCCTCCTCGGGGACTAAAGAGCTTGTGGCATGGCCAGCCTGGGGCCTGCATCTGCTCCCTGCACAGTTGTCTTTGCAGAGTTAGGCATCTGCAGGGCCAGTGTCACAGCCTTAGCACCTGTTTGCCTCCCAAGATGGAATCTGGGGACTCCTGGTTGAAGTGGGAGTGATGGAGCCCCCTGAATGCTCACTGCCTTTCCAGATAAGACAATCAGAGTTGTGTGAATAATTTCTCCTTGGGAGTGGGCAGGGCCCTGGTGCCTCCCCACTACGCCTGATGACAGACAACAGTGCGGGGAGGACAGTGCTCTCCAGGTGACTTGGCAGCTTGGCCTCAGTTCTCCAGGTGTGGGAGGGAGCCAAGGCCTTCAGAGTATCTGCTCAGTACCCTCTCTGACCAGTGGAGTATGGTCCTTCCTTTGCTTTGGGCCCTGGACCCCAAGTGTGATCAGGTTGGGGTCGCCTCTGCAAGCAGCAATGATGAAACAAGTAGACAGATGCAGGCCCTGGGCCTTGCCGCTCCCTCATGTTCCAGACATGAGATCCCCCCTGCTTCTGCCTTCTGGTGTGTGCACGGGGCCTCACACCACAAAGGCTGGAACCAGTGGTTTTCTTTCGGGTGTGCACTCCGGAGCATCTCTCATCGGCGAGAAGCCCTCTTGCCCTCAACTTGTGTGGTCCCCACAGGGGCTGAGCAGGGCAGGAGCAGTGCAGCCTAGGGTGCCAGTCTGGGCGAGACCCCAGGTCTACTCTGCCTGTGTCCACGGCTGGCTCCCCATGGATTTGTGTGTGCTGGGGACTAACATTCTTTGTTATCCCCTATTTCCTGCTGATTACAGTTAATGTCTCTCATTGTAAAGGCAGCAGCCTTTTCCCCGGTGCAGGTGGGTTCCTCTGTTCCTTGAGCCACACTTCCATCCTCTTCCTTGGCTTAGCCTTTGCTCAGCTCTTATATTTGAGTGCAGTTGTTTAAAACAACCCCAACCCAACAGCTTCTTCCTGCAGCCTGGGCCGAAACTGCATCCTGGCATGACCCTGTCCAGGGGACGTGGCTGTCCCTCTGATGCAGCCTGGAATCTGGGCAAAGCCAAGTGTGGGATGTGGTCAGGACTGGGCAGGGACTCCTGTCTCTGGGCAGCTTTGACCTGGTTATAGGACATGCTCTAGGGAACTCTGTGACACTTGGCAACAAGCAGCTAGGGGCAGGGCAGAGGTGGGAGCCTCCAGAAGCCCAGCTCACTCACCGGGAGCAGCAAGTCTGACCAGGGCCCCCATGGAGTGTCCCCTGGGCTGTGGAGATGTCTGTCTTGGTGGCTGGGGCAAGGTGGTTTTGTGGCCTCTTGAAATGAGACCTGGTATATTTGGCCAAGCATCATAAGAGGCTGAGGGGGCCCTCGGCCACCAGATGGTCAGGGCTCAGCCGCACAGGAGACATCCACCTGCTTCGGGGGGCATGCTGTAGGGAGAGAGAGGGGATCCCCAGAGTTGGGGTTGGGGGAGAACGGGGCTTAGCGTCAGAACTTCGATGTGCTATGTCTTCGATGTCACCAAGCTCTCCTGCGGACTCGGCCTACCTTTGGGTGGGGAAAGCAGCTCTGGCTCACGGGGTGTGTCCCAGGAGTGCCTGCTGCCCCTCCCCTGGCCATCTCCCTAGGGTCCTTTGCCCTTGCCTTCCCTGAGCTGACCCTGCATGACCTCAGGAACTCATGAGATGCACTGACTTTGGGGGCGGGCCAGCCTGACTTCAGCCACCCCAAGACAGCTTCCTGCTCTGTGCTGAGTTGGGGGCCCTCCTGCAGAAAGCGTTTTTGAGGAAGGCTTTGGGAAGTGGGGGGCCAGCTCTAAGGGGCCCATCATTCCATTCCTGTTTTGTTAACAGATGTGCCTGGGGTACATTGGTGGCCTCAGTGGAACAGAATGGAAATAGGAGGGACCCTGCTCAGTGCTAGGTTGGGGAGAACAAGACGGGGATCTCCCTGCTCTGAGTGCAGAGGTCAGTGGTCCCTGTGCCAGTTCCAGTGCATCCGTACACCATTGTCTGTGAACTGTTTTCCCATGGACAAGACCCTCCCGGAATTTTCTTTACTAGTTACATTTCCATGGTGAAACATCACCCAGTGATTGGAAATCCGAGGCAGAAAGCAGACATCAGTGAGGTGAGGCTGTGACTCAGGCACGACATGTGATTCAGGGGTGCCTGGAGGCTCTGGTTCTGGGGGAAGAGTGAGTCTCCCAGGGCTGTGGCAGGGGTGCGCTCTGGGCCCCCCGCCCTGAGGCGGGGTGTCCCTGCAGCCCCAGACCAGGCATGCTCCCCGCTGCAGTGATCTGTGCTTCTGAGCAGTAACGCAGTGTCTTGTTGGACAGGCTCTGCCGTAGACCTGCATCTTAGTGATTTAAGCCTCGCCCCCCTGGATAAGGAGCTGGACGAGCAGGACGGAAGTGACCTGCGACCCACTGGTAAGAATGATGCTCTTGTCAGGTGGCCCCGGGCCAGCCAGGCCTTTCCTTTCAAGAATCCTACTGAAGTGGCTCTAGGGTGGGAGAGGCCCCCTCCCCGCCCTCAGGCCCCTGCAGCCCTGGCAGGGTCTGCCTCTCACCTCTTCAGTTTACTCCAACCTGAGTAAGGCAGTGCCTGCGCCAACGGTGTGGAGTGTGCGGGTTTGGGGGCAGGGACGGCCAGCCTTTTTGGCCTTCTGAGGTACTTTAATCACTGCATTGGCGTGAAGATGGATGTATTAACATACGAGGTCTGTCCAGGTGTCCAGCCACATAACATGAGAAATAGAGACATTTATTGAAGAAGATACGGATACAATCAATTGTATGTGGGACAATAACGCCTCAGTCCCCTTCAAAGTAGGCACCTTGGGACCTCGCACGGTTCTCTGAGTCACCATCAGCTGCCCCATCATACTTTCCTGAATCTCATCAATGGTCTGAAAAATCTTTCACAGGTGAGTTTAGTTTGGGGGAAAAGCCCGAAGTCACAGGACATCAAAACTGGGCTGTAAGGTACTGAATCACCTGGGTGATTAGATGTTTCACAAAAAAACTCTGCAATAGACATGCATGAACAGGCACATTGTCCTGACAAAGCTTCCAGTCACCAGTTGCCCATAGCTGCAGCCTTCTGAATCATCTGAATAGTTTCTGTGGAGAAATGTTTTAAGTTTAATGTAAAATTTGATGCAGATTTGTTGCTCTACTCAGTCATTTTGAATGTAACAGCCACACAGTGCACAAGCTCACTCAATGGCATCTACCATCCCCACCCCCACTGACTAGTACAGCGAAGTTGTCATTGTTCACGCACGCGCATTCCAGTCCACTGTCCTTGGCTGCCAGGTTACGTTGATGTAGTGCAAACTGTTCTTGTTATATTAACAATGGCTGGAATTTTTTCTGGACAGACCTCGTATACTGAATCATTTCCTTTGACCTAAAAACTCATCTTTTTCTTCTGATATTAATACAAATTCATCCACTTCTGGGTGACCCTAAAAGTATTGAAACTGCCATGCCATCATTGGCTGGGCAGGCTGGCAGGGCCTAGTGGTGTCCGGCCTCTGTGGGAACCCTGCTGAGCCCTGGGTCCCGTGCACTTGCCTCTTGTCTGAGCAGTTGAGGGCTGTGGCCACATCACAGCTTGGGGGCAGCTCTGTCTCTGCACCTGCACATCGTCGCTGCAGCCTGGGACTCCCTGTCCCCCGTCTGCGCCTGCCCCAGCCGCTGCACCCCTGCTCAGAGGCATTGCCTGCTGTCTCCTGGGCAGAGAGGGCTGCTGCTGCCTATTACTAACTGGGCCCCTCCACTCTGCGCAGGTCAGAGGTCGCTGGGGGGCTCAGAGCCTGTCACCATTCCAGGCTGCCTGGCCCGCTCCCCGTCCCTGCACTCCTCGTCTTCCCTGTCCACCTCCCCGCTCAGCTCGCTCTCCCAGCCTCTGTCCGGGCCTCTTGTCTCCTCGGCTATGACGCCCCCCCAGCAGCCACCGTCCCTCAAGTCGGAGCCCAGGGTGCTGGGCTCCTCAGCCTCGACCTACAACTCCCTAGGTGAGCTGGGGTTCACGGGGGAGGGGCCGCCCTATAGTGACAGTTTGCTGTTGGGTGAACCGAGGCCTGAGTGGCTGTCCCCACTTCGTTGCCCTCCCGTTCCGCCACACTGCCCTGTACACTCTCCGTGGTGTGGGTCTCAGCATTTCTCTCAGGCGACCCCTTGCCCGTGCCTCTGCTGGTCCCACAGCGATGTCCTGGGGCTCAGGCTCAAACAGGGTGTGCTCATCGGCCTCTTCTGGGCCTCGGTGTGCGGAACATGGCCATGACCGCACCGCGGTGTGGCCCGCGTGGCTCAAACCTGGGCAGCGCAGTTCTGAGGCAGGGGAGGCGCGGTGCTGCCAGAGACCGGATGCAGGAGCAGGCGGGTTTGGGAAAACAGAAAAAACAGTGCTGTTTCTCGCTTTACGTGACGCTTTCACTGGAAAAGTCATTTTATGTAACCTGTTATACTTTAAAAGAGTAGACATATTTTTTAAAATTTATTTTTAGAGGGGTAAGGGAAGGAGAGAGGGAGAGAAACATCAATGTATGGTTGCCCCTCGTGTGTCCCCCGCTGGGAACTGGCCTGCAACCCAGGCATGTGCCCTGACTGGGAATCGAACCTGGATACTCAGGTTCACAGGCCCGCACTCAATCCACTGAGCTACACCAGCCAGGGCTAAAAGAGTAAACGTATTTTTAAAATACCTGTTCAATTCCTAAATGGTCATGCACCACATACCAGCTTCTCAGTCAGCAAGGGACCTCATCTTACGAACGGGTCCTGTGTGATTGCAATGGGGCCGAACTTGCTGGGGGAGATGGAAGGGCATGTGGTTTGGTAGGGATGTTTTTCTCCTGTGCTGAAACAGGTCAGTGGCTGTGCCCTGACCGGGGATCCAACTGGCGACCTTTGGGTTCCTAGGCTGGCACTCAGTCAGCTGAGCTGCACTAGCCAGGGCTCGACACTCTTTTTTTAAAGGAACACCACAGAGTTCCTTCGACTTGCCAATTCCAAAGCCACGGCGCCTGGCAGAGCCCTGTGCTGCTTCCTCTCCCCGTTTACTTTCATTCCTGCTGACCCTCAGACCGCCTGTCCCTCCCTCCTGCTGTCACCATTGTGGTGAGGCCCGCCCCACCCAACCGGTTTCTTCCTGACGTTTCCAGTCAGTCCTGCAGCCCCGGCAGCTTCGGTGCTCCGTTTCTGGCCCTGCTAGAAGGGAGCGGGGCAGGGCGTGCGGGGCGCTGCTCGCAAAGTCTGCGGCAGTGCACAGCAGTAGCCTGGGCCTCCACGGTCACCCACAGCCACGTGCAGTCCTGCAGCCACTGTTCATGGTGAGTGCCGTGGACAGGCGTTATCATTTTTATCTTTATTATTTCTTTAGATTTAATTTCTTATTTTTTGAGAGGGGAAGGGAGGGACAGAAATATCAGTGTGTGGTTGCCTCTCACACGCTCCCCTACTGGGGACCTAGCCCTTAATCCAGGCATGTGTCCTGACTGGAAATCGAACAGGCGACCCTTTGGTTCACAGGCTGGTACTCAGTCCACTGAGCCACACCAGCCAGGGCTCATCTTTTACCTTTTATACTGTATTTTTACTGTACCTTTTCTTTGTTTAGATATACAAGACCTGACCATTGTGTTACAGTCACCTACAGTACTTGGTACAGTGACACGCCATACAGCCTTGTAGCCTCAAAGCAGAAGGTCCTACCGTAGAGCAGGCTGTCAAACTCCTTTTCTTCAGGGGCCACACCAGCTTCCAGGTTGCCTTCAAAGGGCCCAATGTGATTTTAGGACCGTGTAAATGTAACTACTGCTTAACTAGGGGCAAGGAGCTCGGCGCTGCCGCTGGGTAGAAACAAGGTGCTGGATAAAACAAGGTGGAGGCTGGATTCGACCTGCAGGCCTTGCGTTTGCCACCTGTGCCTTAGAGCCCAGGGGTGCAGGGGGCCGGGCCGTTTTAGGTTTGTGTAAATGCAGCCCGCAGTGCTCAGCGGCGAAACTGCCCGATGATGCATTTCTCAAATACCTCATGTTGTTGTGGCATGTGGCTCTGTGAACAGGGGTCACTTTTTCCTGTGATGGGAGCTCTTTAAGCAAAAGCTCTTTGGGGGCCTCAAAATCCTACATGTGTAAAGGATTCCTGGGAGCAGAGTTTGAGAAGTGCTGCTCCACATGAGGCAGCCACAGAAACTTTGAATTTCTTTTCTGTTTAAACCCCACAGGGGGCCGGAAGGGGGCCTGGGTGGAAGATCAGGGGCAGCAGCCTTGTCAGTGGAGCCCCAGAGGTCCCAGAGCCTGCCTGAGAGCCGTCTGTGATGTCTCAGCACGCCTGGGGCTGACACCTGTCTCCTCCGCACTCAGGTTTGAATGGTGTCCCTGGGAGCATCTGGGACTTTGTTTCCGGCAGTTTCTCTCCCAGCCCATCCCCCATTCTGAACGCTGGCTCCGCGTCCTCTGCGAGTGCAAGTCCCAGCTGTGCTGAGCTAGCTCGGGTCAGGCGGCAGCTAGACGAAGCTAAGAGGAAGATCAGGCAGTGGGAGGAGTCCTGGCAGCAGGTGAAGCAGGTGAGTTCTGGGGAGGGGCCGGGACTCAGGGAGACTCTTGCCCATTCAGGACGCTCCCTCCCCCACGCCAGCCTCTATAGCCTCCTGGGTTTCAGGCCTGTGACGCATGGCAGCGGGAGGCCAAGGAGGCAAAGGAGCGTGCACTGGCGGCTGACAGTGCCCGGCAGCTGGCACTGCAGAAGAAGGAGGAGGTGGAGGCCCAGTTCAGGCAGCTGCAGGAGGAGCTGGAAGGCCGGGGCATGTCCACACTGCCTGGGCTGCGGGGCTGCAGCGACATCGGTGCCATCCCGCTGCCCAAGCTGCATTCGCTGCAGAGTCAGCTGCGCCTGGATTTGGAGGCGGTGGATGAGGTGAGTCCTGGGTTTGTTTCTGAGGTGCCTGACGTCTGTCCCTGGCAGTGTGCATGTGTGGGGGGATGACTGGGACGTGGCCAGGCGCTGCCACTTCCCATGTGAGTCCCTCTCATCTGACTCCTCTGGTGGCAGCTCATGCTCTGCTCCAGGGAGTGTGTGTCCCACCTCTCCTGCCAGGCTGGCCCTGCCCTTCCTTTCTGGAACCTCCCACGTTTATCCCCTCCTGTGCCCTCATGGATAGAATGGACACCCCCTCTTGCCCCACACAGTTGGAACCATGGTGTATGTCTGAGGTATGTTACTGAGGTCACCTTCCAGGGTCACTGGTCACCTCCTTGCCTGATTTCATTCTTCTTTTTTTTCTGGAGTAGCACAAAACCCACTGTTTCCAGCTCAGCTAGAAAATTCTTCCACACCGGGGCATTTTGTCAGAATTCAGAGCATCCGGAAGGTTCCACAGCCCTGCCTCTCAGCACCCCCCCCCCCTCTGTTGACCAGCCATGGTCTGGCTGCAAAACGCACACCTGCTTCACCTGAGGTGCTATCTCCAGGCTATGGCTAAAAGCCTGGGTCTCGGACCAGGGTCCCAGTAAGCCCAAATCTTGGCACTTGCTAGCCACCAGCTGCCAGCTACAGGTCACAGGCCTGCATTGTGGCCCGCCCGCCACACCCAGGCTTGGTCTCCCAGGAGCTAGTCCTTTGCTTGAGGGGCTTGTGAAAAAGCAGGGCCAACCGCATCTTTGTGTTCCTCGGGTGACCCCTGGCACAGGTGTCCCACCCCAGCCCTGAGTCTTCTGGTGCTAGCCAGGGGGCCGTTACCTTTGTGCGTTCTTGAATCACTTTTGGGCAAACTGGGGGCCATTGGTGGGGTGGGGTCTCAGTGACCCACCAACTTCTCCTGCCCACAGGTGATCTTCCAGCTCCGAGCGAAGCAGTGTGTGGTATGCGGGGAGCAGTCCCGGGGCGCCGTCCTGCAGCCCTGCCAGCACCGCGTGCTCTGCGAGTCCTGTGTGGCCAGTGCACCCGAGTGCCCCTACTGCGAGGGCCAGCCCCTCCAGTGGTGACGGCAGCCATGGTGGCCTCACTTCCTGGTGCCACCGACGTCGGGACCCCGGCTCTGAGCTGCACGCACGGCTCTGTGGTATTCTCACAGACCTCAAAGGCAGACACGCAGCACCCACCCTGGGCAGCACAGTAATTACACAGGGTGTGCGGTCCTGACACTACTGTGACCACATCCTGGGAACTCACATCCCGGCCGAGCACTTTTGTAAATTGAGGAATTTAAATGGACAAGCTAAGTTGCTAGAAGCTGCTTTCTAGGTTCATGTTTTTTTTAATACGCTATATGAAGCTTTGTATGTGTACTGTGAACTCAAAAATTTCTTATCAGTTTATTGTTAATTCATAGTATAGTAAATATGATTAGATTTCATATTCTGAAATTAGTCCTTATGAAATGAGCATTTATCTAGTAGTGAGAAATGCCTAGGATTTTTATAGGTTTTAAATGAAGTGGAAACAAATAATATTTATAGCAGAGTGATTATTGAAAGACATACATTTAGATGTTTTTAATTTTATGAAAGGAACTATTCCTAAACGTGTGCACATGCACCCTGATTGGAATTTTATTTCCCAACCCGGAGAAATGAGGGAGCTCAATCATGTGTCTGTGATCTGGGGCCACATTCTCCAAGTGCCTGAGCCTTGCAAAAGAAGTGAAGGGAATGGTTCATTCGGTTTTATTTTCTCCCTTGAAACTTTGTAAGACAATTTGATAGTGGTTAAAAACGTGCAGCCATGGGAGTACGTTCATTTTAGAAAGCCGGTTTTCGAGTCTCAGGGGCAGCAGTGCCCCTTCCTTCCCAGAGCCGGCTGCGGGCTTTGCAGCCGGCCCACAGGTCCTCCCCATAACTCTGGGGCCACGGGGACTCCTGCCAGTGGGGACAGGCTCACCCGTTTTTGGTGTGTTTGACTTTAGGGCACTTCTGACATTGCCATCCAATCTGTGCGTCCAGGTATTACCGGTCTTTCGTGAGGACCAGGCCGCTATGCTAGGGTAGGGGGCGCAGCTCCCTTCGCCCCCAAGTAGCAGCCTGGCTTCAGGGCACAGCAGAAGTGCTCCTGAGAAGCGGTCTGATTTTAGTGATGACTCAAATCTTCTTTGGTCTATAATGGGTCTGTTTTTCTAGACCTCTGGCAAGTATAACATGTCTGTCGTTTACCCCAACTGTGCTCTCGGTGGAGCAGATCTAGGCTGCTGGGAGAAAACCTGGGCAGAACCTGCCGCTGGAGGGGTGGCAGCGGGTACCGGCCCCTCGGGCCGGGACGTGAACACCGATGTGTTTCTACTTGCCTGGGGCTTTGCCAAAGACTTTTAATAGCATTTTTAAAGTGCAAAGTGAGTAGGCAAAAATTTTTATCAGTGACTAAATTAGAATGTATTTACTGTAGTAAGAAGTTTAAAACATTTTTTAACATAAGACAGACTGATAAAGAGTCATTTTAAGGTGGCCCCATGACATTCCGCAGCTGGTGTGCTACTACTAAAGGTTAACTATTGCCTTGGTTTTAGTGAGTATGTTTTTAATTATAGTGATGATTTATTAGCTCTTAGAAGTTACGTATATTTTGTGCTATTGTTATCATTGTTTAAAATTATTTTTATTAGTATTTATGCACTTGTTTCCCATTTCAGGCTTTGGCCTTTCCTGGGATAACAGGACAGTGTTTATTACTGATATCTAGCCTAGACATTTTCAGATTATAAACAAGAACAATTAAGCTTTAGGTCTATTTATAAGCTACTCTGGTCAGTTCTGTGGAGTCTGGGGGCTGGCGTGTAGTACTCACAGGGGTCCCATGGCGGGGCGCGCACCCTTCTCGGGGCAGGCCCGGCACTGAGAACACCTGTGGTGGGAAGACCAAAGGATGACCCAGAATGGAGTTCCAAGGGTGGCCCAGCGCGGGCAGGCCTGTCGCTGAGGTGCGTCCCCCGGGGGCACTGCCCTTGGGGTGCTCTGTTCCCGTAGTAGCCCTGGTCTCCCAAGGGAGCTGCACTTTGCAGGCCTCACAGGATGAGCTGGGGACAGGCTCTGCCTCTGGGGGTCTCACCGTCCCACCTGTGGGTGAGGGAGTGCTGGGTGTAGCAGCAGAGGCCGGGCGGTGCTGTGTGTCTCTCAGCTCTAGTGTTCAGTGTTAGCGGTAACATTCTATCGTCACACCACTCACGTAACGATCAGGAGACCTCAAGTCAGTGTGAATGCTTCATGTGGATCATTTATGGAAGCCCCCAATCTGTATGTGTGTTCTGAGTATTTAGATGAGAATGTTATTGGAATGGAACTTTCGTAACCCAGAAGGTAGTATTTATAATGCACAATCATTTACTTGTAGTGAATTGTTTAAAGGTAACACTTGTTTAAATTTTTTTACACTATAGCATTTATGCAATGGTTTACAGAATTCATGGAATTATTTTTATCAGTATGGGAATTAAAACTTTGAATCTTTATTTGTCCACATCTTCATGTATAACCCTGAGAGCCACTGGCCTAGATAGAAGCCCGTCCTCTGCCTGTAGTGTGCTTGTCCCGGGACGTCTCACCCTACACCGTGGCCCAGCCTGCCCCTTGTTCCTGCTACAGGGTTCCAGTCTGGTCATCTTCCCCCCAACCCAGGTCACAAGGTGTTCCCAAGCAACCCTGGGTTGCCTCGGTGCTCTGCGGTCCTGTCCGTGGGTGTCTTGGAGCCCAAGTGCTCAGAGCTGGAAGTTTCTGCCAAAATACCAGGAGGAGGACAGGTCAGGGCCTGGCTCACAGGCAGCGGGTCCCAGGGCGGGGCCTGGCTCCTTCCCCATGCATGATTTACCAGCAGGACTGCTGTAGGTGATGCCATGTTGGGTCAGCACACTTCTAAGTCTTTTAACCTCCTTCGACAGTTCCTTATGTGCCTGTAACAGAGGAGTGTGAAGGGAAGGTCAGGCCCCTGGGCTGGAGGCTGGCTGTCGGCAGGGCAGCCGGCCCCCATTCCACACCTTACTGCAGCTCTCCAATGTTTCAAACACTGGGCCCTGAACACCACCTTCCTGTTGTGCTGATTGGTTTTCTTCTGGGGTCTTTAAATAGCCAGCATCCTCAAAAAGGGCTCTGAGTAACTTCTCATATCCCTGCATGTAAAGGAAGAAGGACACCCAGTTCCTGGCCGTGCTACACCCAGTCAAAGGGTGTCCACCCAGCACCTCACCTGGGGAGTGATGAGCTCGTCAGCCAGGTCCTGTTCCACCTGGTCCCACCTCTGCTGCAGGACCATGGGCAGGGCTGGGTACACTGAGATTCAACAGAACCCAGACTTAGCTGAGCCCCTCTGCCCCACCCCCTGCAGGCCCCAGCATACTACCTAACAAGGAGTGGGGGTGGCAGACAAGGGGTGTCTCGAAGGTCAGTGCGTACACACAGGTGCTTGGCTCAGACACATGAGCTAATCGGTTGCTTTTTCCACAGGTAAGCTCCACCTGCAGGGAAACCTTGGTTGGTGGGTGAAGCGGGGGCCCCTTTTCCAGGTCCCCTCCTATTCAGCCCCACCTTGCTTTGCCGGCTCTGGGAGTGGCAGGAGTCACCATCCCTCATCCACATGCCCCTGAAGGTGTTATTGGCAATTTCCCACTCGTGCCAGATGCTGGGGAGGATCAGAACACAAAGTTGGGGTGGGTGGGAGACACCACGCCATGGGGCCTGCAGTGACGTGCTCGTCCCTGTGCCCAGCTCACCCGAGGATCCCACTGTAGGCATTCCAGCGGAAGGTCTGCTCGTGCTGGGTCACGTTGTGGAATGGGCAGAATTCGTACTTGTACCTGGGGGCACAGCTGCCGTCAGGGGCGTCCCAGCCCCTTCCCCTGCCACCCCTCCCCTCACTCACGTGGACTCCACCAGGCTGAAGCACTTGCCAGAGAGTCTGAAGAGATGCACAGGCCCTAGGAGAGGAGAATGCAACATACTGGGTCCAGTTTAGGAGCAAGCTTGCAGACCAGGCAAAAAAATCCCAACGACCCACAAAATAGGCTGCTGAGGAAAAAGGTTGATTTAAGCTTTAAGGGAGCACGAGAGCACATGTGATGTCAGCAAAATCTCAGACCAAGGAAGTTCCAAGCTCATTTCCCTGTGCAACACTGAAAGAGCACCGGCAGCTGGCTGGGCTGACTTAGAGGGGCTCTGGAAAACAGGTACAGCAGCCAAGCGGACACAGAGAACAAAGGCACCTTCCAGCCGGTCGCACAAGTGTTGCAGCATTTCTCTTGCCCTGTGCCAGTCCCACCCCAAGCATGGTCACAAGGAGCAGGCCGACCTTGTCTCCAACATTCCCTCCTGGCTGGGGGCTACCAGAGGACTGGTCCCCATTTTGCCTAACTCAGACCTCAGGTAGGAACACAGGCACTGCTCACGTAAGCTGTGGGGCCCTCAGGACTCAGAAGTTCGGTGCTGGAGGTTAATGGGAGATGCTGGGGTGAAACTCGAAAATAGAGATACTCAAGGGTAGCCATGTATGTACATGCCTGCAAATGCACCTCAGGCTGCTGCTCCCCAGGCTCAGAGTGTGCCCAGCAATTGAAGGTCTGCTCCAGGGCAGAGCCAGTCTGCAAACAAGTGGTAGAAACGTCTTTTCTCTACCATTTTTCAGTAAAATATCGCAAGGCATACAAAGGAACAGAAAACACTCATAGGCAAAAACCAGCAGAGCCACCGCAGGAAAAGTCCAAACACTGTACTAACTAAAGACTTTTAATCAACTATCTTCAAATGACATGTAACAGAGATAAAAATTACAGAAAGAACCCTGACTCAGTGGGTGGCTCAGTGGGTTAGGTGTCCTGCAGAGCGAAAGGCGCTGGTTTGATTCCTGGTCAGGGCACATGCCTGGGTTGTGGGTTCGGTCCCTGGTTGGTGCACATGCTAGAGGCAACCAATTGATTTTTCTCTCCCTCTCCTTCTCTCTCCCCCTCTCAAAAAAAAAAAATGCTGAAAGAAAACATTAAAAACAAAACTAAAGAAAGAAATAAAAAAAATCTTGGAGATGAAAAATCACACAAGGGATTCAACAGCAAATCTGAGCAGACAGAAAAATTAGGGACCAGAACTTACGAGTCCTGGGAGATGCAT